TAGAGAAAATGGCTGTTAAATTTTAATTTATTTGAATAAGGCTCCTAATGAAGCTTGAATTTAAAATCTTTTCATGCAAGAATTCTCATTCCTTTATATGATCAAAGGTAGCGTTAAGTCTTTAAAACTTTTAAAAAGATAGTATGTGCTCCCCATAAAGGGACAAAAAATGAAATATGCATGTATTTGTTTGCCTTTTTTTTTTTTAACTAGAAATGCATTTAAAACACATTTTGAGATTTCGTAATTTTCCCTGTATAACACCTGATATGAATTGCTGTAATGCTGGTACATGTTTTTGAAGAGAAACAAATTATTTTCAGAACCTTGGGGCGGACAACCTTATTTATTTTTCTATGAAAAGATTAATAGGTGGATAGTATTAAAGAAACTTTTTTTTCTGACGTACGAATGTTCTCTGACAGTTTTTTTTGCATTTATTCGACTTCGTCTGTAGGATCACTGGGCAATTTTAGACCGATTTTACATACAGTATTTCTGTGTAACTGAATTTTGTTTGTATTAAAATTCTTTCGTTATGAGGAATATTTTTGAATAAATAAAATTATTTGTCAATAAAAATCTAAAACAGAAACGCTTCAGAAATAATATGAGCTGCCGTTCTCAGTTTTACATTGGAAAACTGAATAAACCTTCAGTTGAAAATGCAAGCACTTTTTCCAAAATATTTGTTCATACTTGTAAAAATCATGGGCTTAACGAATTAGTTTTGCATAAGAGTTTAATAAGCTCTTTTTTTTTTCTTTTCTTTTGAAAAAAAAAAAAAAAACATGTTGATTAAAAATATTTTTATTAAAATTAATTAAATTATGTCATCCCTGCAGATCTAAGCACATGACCTGTTACCTTTTGAATTTCACAATCTACGATAGAAAACGTCTTAAAACATTTTTTTTTTTTAAGAACAGCAAAATACAGATTGATGAAAGCTGTTATCTATTAAATATTCAACTCAACTAGTGGGAATACAACTTAATTGATTCAAATCATGAAGTTCAAAACTAGTTTGTAAACCTAAAAGGCCAGGGTTCCAAGTTTCACAGACATTGTGAATACTTTTATTTTGAAAATACAATATTTAGAATATGTATCTGTCTAAATTGTTAGGCTAATATTATCTTGAACTGATTTTGAATAATTATGTCATAATGACCATTAGGTCCAAAGCTTGGACATAATGAGATTAAAAGTTTACATATAGCAAAATACATAAAATCTATGTCTAGTACATGTAGTTTCAAATGGATTGATTTCAGATTCATTTGTCAACATATAGAATAGTCGACCTAAAATTAGCTTCTATTTTTCAATTGGTGAAAAATAAACCTATTTGACATTTGACAGTTGACATTTTGCAATCGACATTGTCTAATTCTGGTTTAAACTATATATATATATATATAGATATAGATATAGATATATATATACATTGTATATATATTCACATTTCTGCACTCTCTTATAACTTCTGGGCCATACATGCATGTAAAGAGTTTTCTTTTGATGCAGTTAACAAAAGTACACAGATATGTCTTGTCTTTTGTCTCTACAGCTGAGGGTAATTTACAGACATTTTAGAATAAGCGTCCTTCATTTTTTTTCTTCTGAATCATTTCAGGTTCCCCTTACATCAAAGTCTTTATAATTATCCTGATTAAAGCCTGAGTGTTATTACGTTTTAAATTTTTCTGCATCATTGAAAGAATCGCACCATCAAAGCAGAATTGGATTATTGAACAATGTACTTTCAATGGTTTCCATGTCACTTTAAGTGCCAAAGCCACACTAGTTAAATCTTCAAAGAAAATTTACGACCCAAAAGAAAAAAAATAAGAATAAGAATATCAGTTCGAGGACAGGTAGTTGAAGAATAGCAAACTTTTACTAAATTAATATTCAAAATGAGAAAGAAGCCATTCCTGGCCTTTCGTTTTTCTGGTAATTGTTTGACAAGCAAACTCGTTCGTAAAAGCAATCTTTAAATTTCTTGACCTGTTACCTGGTATATGAGCATTATTGCGTTGATAAACCATTATTCCTACCATGCACAGATCCTTTCCGTTTTCATTATGCAGAATTCAAAGTTACCAAAGATCGATGAGTGTGGTTATTAACAATTAATAATTAATTTTTACAATGTTAGACAAAGAAAGCACCTTCTGAAATCATATATATTTGCATGAGTTTTATGAAACCCCTGCCTAAAGCTAATAAGCTCCCCACTCCAACCCCACTCTCACGGCCCCAATTTCAAATCCTAGATCCGCCCCTAAATGTCAAAGTCTGTACAATAGTGATGACAAGGAATATCATCGGGGTAGAGGCAGATAGAGCGCACTACATATGATTAACCATCTAGGCATGTATAAAATTAAACTAGCTGTTATGAAATTTTATTAAATGTAAATGCCTGTCTAAAGATAAATATTTTTTTTCTTGTTCCAAAGGTCCTTTATCCTTTTGAACAAGGAAACATGGGTTAATATCATAATTTATTACATGTAAATATGATTCCGTATGAATTCAGTAAAAATTTTAAACGGATTTCCATAAGAAATAAAGGGGAAGAATGACTTAAGAAAATCCCAAAAATTAATCCAAAATTTATATATCATCACGGTATATCAGTCAAAATCTTAAGTTTGTGCATCAAAAGCTTTTTTTAGTCCAATGACATTTTATAAATCTGATGTATATTACAATCAAGGATGTATGCACATACAGTCGTATCAAATAATCATTATTTGTAATATATGATATAGACAAAGCGATCAATAGATCAGCGTTCGTTCATCTTTCATTCACCGTTTGTTCAACGTTCGCTAATACATTCACTTTTCTTATTACTCACTTAACGTTCTCTCTATCCATCGCGCCCCGCTCTCGTTTCTTTCGTTTATAAACTTGCTTTGTAGAAATCCTCATCGTCCATATGAGGTAGAATTTAGAAAGTTCTCTTGCCTCTCATTTACTTGGAGAATGCCCCCACCACCACACACACAGCATTTTTTTTTCTTTTTCGAAATATGGGATATCGACATACTTTTTTTCCTATTCATGTATTCTAATATGAATTATACTTTATCCATATAATTATATTCTAAACATTTCCTCTCTATGAGTTACAATGTATGTACATGTATAAAAGTCGCGTTTTCCATGTTTTCAACGTCGAACTGTGTCAATGAAAAACAAACAACTCTTAAAATATTTTATTCATAGCTTTTCTATTTGCTAGCAATAAACATATAAACTGTACAATCGAAGCTGCTGCATGAGGCTTTTCGACGATAAATAAATACGTATGTATTTACAAACAAATAAATGAATAAATTATTTTATTTATTTATTATATATTGCTTGTCGGAAAGCCTCATACAGTTGCGATTGCTTCTCTTAAATTATAAAAAAAAAACAAAAACAAACAAACAAAAACACCATGCATTCATGCAGATACCTAGGGAATTTGTCAAGACTGAAATGAATTAGATATTAACTGAAGCTTTTGCAGGATACTCAGGTGAACAATGAAGATACTGGAAAACTCATGTGCCTCTTCCTAAATGCAAATAAGTTCATGGGTTTATATATTTTTTCTATTCTTTCACTTTTGCTTCTCGGCATCCTGCAGAAATTCTTGGTATCACTTGAACACCCATCATCTTGATATCATCTCGCAGTTTTATCTAATTTATATATCGGAAACATTACGATACTTAATACCTTAATGATATTATGATTAGACAGACAGATTTTCAATCGTTTGATCTTATTTTATCGAATCCCAGACTTGGTTTATGTTTAGGTGTATCCTGGGATACCCACTGTAAACTGTACACGATTTTTCATGTAATTACCCATGCTAAGGTTATTCAAAAATCTTTTTTTAAATGTGTACGGGGTTAAAGCTTTGATTTTACGAGCTAATTTACAGTAATTTAATTTTTGTTCCGGGGAGGTAAAACCTGATGTTTAATCAGGTTGGCAGTACTCGGACAAGCGCAAAGTTAATCATGACCCACTTCAGAATTAATATATACTACAAATTAACTTTAATTTGAAAGAAGAGTTTATTGTTCTGACCTATTTCTTTCTATCAAGTTTGCCAGATTTATTGTACATGTGGTATCGTACTGCAAAACACGCACTTATACACATCAGAACCCTCACCAGATATCTGGAAGGGAGTTGGGGGAGCGTCTGTAAGTGGTACCCTCCCTCCTTGAGCCAGAAAATGGCTACCATTCAGGTTTGTAGGAACCGGGGGCAGGGGAGGGGAGGGGGCTCCCTCAATGATTTTGCCAGTATATGCTTTACATTAGTAAACAATGCGTCTGGTGGCCTTTTTCTCAAGAATTTCTGACAACCCCACCTCCACCCCCAAAATGACATTGTCTCCTATGGGCCTTTCTTTTTTGCGGGTCTTTTTTGCATTCTGGAAGTCATCTTTTATATAATACATGTAAATGAAAGATTTCTAGCAACATTACTTAACAGATTGATAATAAATTAACTTTGTTTCGAAAATGATTTCTTAAAGGGTATAGGATCTTAACAAACACACATGTATCTCCTTTTCTTTCAGACAGCCTTGAATCCAACAACCAACTACAAACTATTTTTTAACACGAATTATGTTTAAGAAATTAATTAATCATACTTCATTTTATTTGAAGTCACTTTATGAGTTGTTTAAGAAAGATGCAATAAATACCATGTAGAAAATCACATCATACGTGGATGTAGAGTTTATGCCTATAGGTGTGATGTGTTATTCATAAATGAATGATTAAATAAATAAATAAAATAAATAAATTTAACATAAAGCGCCTTATCCGGAATTAAGTACTCCACTTTAGATTTTTGATCTTATGATCTACTTTCGGTTTTACCAATTTGGCGCCAGGTACAAAAGTAAACACACCGTCACACGTAAGTCACCTTGACGTTCTCATGGCCAAAGTTGCTTATACTTATAGTAATATTTATCTCAATATGTCATAGATTTGAATAATTGGACTGTAAACAAGTGATTTTTTTATTAGGTAAGATCGTGTTTATTTCACAAATATTTCTGGTTTCTTTGGCAATCGCAGAACAAGTTGACCCATATTGTTATGATGATTGCAAAATTGAAATATTATAAAATAGCTTAAAGATAATGATAACTTTTTGTATTGATTAAAGATTATGAACACAAATATATGTTTTCTAACAATTCTTCATTTTTTCAGTTTTGTTCAAATTGACCCTAAGTGCTTCCTCTCATCGCATCCATGATCACAGAATTCTTAAAATATGGCCACAAGTTCACGGACATCAAATGCGCCACCATTAACGGAAGAGGTTAAATGCTATCTTTATTATTATTATTATTATTTTTTATCAGAATTAATAGTTTCTTTTTGTCCCATCACGTGTCAAAGTAAAGAAATTTATAGTGCCAGGGTTAGGGTCCAATTTTAGGATGTGAAAACCACAGGCTCTTGTTTTGTGTATAGGTAACCCCTTCATTTTATTTTCCAGGAAAATGAGAAAGGATGGCAACCAAATCCCATATGTACAGAACGAATGCCTTTGTGTATCCATCTTCACAATGTCAAGGTTTTATGATACCATTCCTCTTCATAAACCCTTGACAAAAGTTGCCATTTAAAGGTTGGCCTTGTGGATAACATGAAGTAATGTTTAATTATAAACCAACCAATGAGATTTTGTCTTTAAAATCTGTCGTCTTCAAGTGGAGTCAAAGTGTGGCTCAAAGCCACAGCTGTAAGGAGGAGGATCTTCCAAAAAATTAATCTCCGATATTTATTTGAGGAAACTAGTGACAGAGCTCACAATATTGGCACTTTCCATTTTAAAGACAAGCAATATTCATTTACAAAACTTACTTACAAGGCTGTATTCTGATTTGTTCCAGTCCTAGACCAGGAACATGAAAAAGTAGCTTTCTAGCCTGACTTTTAAAAAGAGACTTTTGTCAAAGGGTTTGTGTAGAGGAACGATATCACAATACTTGACATTGTGAAGATGGTGTGTACCCCACTCCCAACCCCCTTTTTATGGGTTACTTGGTCAGGTCTAAATATATATATAAAACTGCTATATACTTCACATACATGCAGCTGTTGAATCAAAATACAGTCAAATCTCATTATCTCGAACTCATTGGGACTAAAGAAAAACTTCGAGATGTCAGAGAATTCAAGATATCAAGGATTAAATACTTAAAGAATATTAAGTTGTTGGGACTTCCAATTCACTTCGACATATCCATGGTGTTTGAGATATCAGTGTTCGAGATACCAGAGTTCAACTGTAGTATGTTATTATCAAAGGCCAGTTAAATGTTATCATATATCCAGGTTCCAACTACCAAATTACCCCCTACAAATTCTAAACTTATTTGATATTTTTAACCAGTTCTGAAAATACAATAAAATTGAGATGCTTAACTGTAACAGCATTTGGTAAGAATATATTGTATCCTAAAATGTATTAGTCTACCAAGAGTAATTAGCATTTCAAAATTAAAAAAAGAAATACTGAGAAGGAAAAAATATATTTTAATATTTACAGTTTATTTTCAATTTGTTTTGATTTTACAGCAAATGGTGAAGGGTATGAAGGAACATTATAAACAGAAAGAGGAAGGATTGTCTCAGGTCAAACTTCAGGTGGAAATAATTTGGTCAACTATTCAGAAAAGGTACATTGACATGATAATATTATTGTTACAATACCTTAAATGAAATATAAATTGGAAATCTTCAGGCAAACTGATTTGTTAGTAATGGGTTTTTTTTTCAATATTTTGTGACATAGATTTCAGCACATTTGCACAAGAGAGAAGGAGAATTTTACTGCTCCCTCCTTGACTAGTGAGGATAAAGACCAGATATTGTACCTCAATCAGCAACTGACCCAACTTTCTGACAATCTTAGACGACTCGTGTCTGACGAGAATCAGGAACAAAGGTAAAAGAAGTGTAGGCTGCAACTGAGTGTGGTGTGGGTGGGTGTGGGTGTGTGTGTGTGTGTGTGTGGGGGGGGGGGGGTTATTGTTGATTATAGCTAGAATATTCCAAAATATATTCGGCATATAGGCTAGTAAAGATGTATCAATATTTAATATTGACATTTGCATATGTTTTCTTTTATATATATAACCCCTATTTGAATAAGGTGATTTTAAAAAATGTGTATAAACAGGTTCGTCATGCTACCATTAATTGATTGTTTATTCATAAACGATCTACGTAATTTCATAGTGACGTCATAAGTGTTCAACACTGTTGAGGTTTGCAGAAAAAAAACATTTTATGGGTTTAAAACTTTAGTACCCAACTATTTGTAATAAATCAGTCACAAATGTAAATATAAGTAATAAGGTATCGTTTTTATACTTTTATCATGATGTAAATACAGGTTGGCACGTGATAAATTTACCATAAAGCCCTTTGGGCCTTATGAAATTTGATCACATGACCACACCGTATTTACATGCCGATAAAAGTTTAAAAATGATACCTTATTTCTTAAATATGATTTAAGAAAAGCAAGAGTTTCTATTCTAAAAAATAATATGAATTCAATTGATACATGTACAAAATTCCATTACTCATTTGTTGTTGTGATGTACATGTATTACTAAGAGATTATGTTGAGTTGGATGTGCAAACGTCAGCACTTTCACATTTCCTGCAACATAGTTTGGCTGTGAACAACCTACTAATTACCCTGTAAGCATTTACAAGGATACTGCTAGGCTTTGAAAGTCATTTTTACAAGGCTACAATTCACTAATGGATTAATGCTTTATCTCCTGACCTTTCAGTAATATGTAGGCTTACGAGAAGTTCATGCAATAAATGTTGTATGTTATTAACAATAGAAAGAGAGGAAAAATGCAGATGTAAAGTACATATATGTGGTTGTCAGTGAGTCACAGTTGAGAAAAGAAAAAAAGATTATTAATTGTGTAGGAAAACTTCTTGATCAATTTCTACATCAGCTCAGTGAATGAATGAGCCATGTATTTCGTTAATCTGTCGATGGAAATAAAGTTTTTCAGATGTGTACCTAAGGCTGTGAATTGATGAAATCATCTCCTGTTTCTCCATAATCAAGTTTTGGTATCATTCATCTAGTATGAAACTTTACCTCATTTGTAATTCATTAATCGGGTAAATGTGCACAGTAAAATCTTTGGTTACACCTCAAGGTTTTGGATGATTCATGAGAGAGATCATGGAGATTGAGACAGTCTTTTCAAAATGAAATATTTGTAATTTGCTCTGAATTTAGAAATTTAGAAAATCATAATGAAATCATTTAATATGCAGTAAAAACCAGCACATGATTTGGTTGAAGAGTTCAGTTGAAAATCTGAAGCCATTGCAAAAATAAATTTCTTGTCAATATTATTTATTCTTAACATGCTTAATTTATTATAACTTTCATTTAATTCAAATGTGAAAGTGTGACATTAATTGCATTTACTAGTACATGTAGTAAGATTCACAGGAGTTTAGAGTACCATGTGTTTACAGCTATAGGAGTTATTTGGTCTACCATACGATACATTAGACAAATAATTGTGAAATTTTTCAATCAGGCCCCTGTTTGAAAAGGAATAGGTACAAGAAAAAATTGTTTCTGATATTGGATTGAATCTCCATATTTTTTTCAAGATGTCTTTCAGTTATTGCTTCAGACAATGCCTGACATCTCTTATTATTTTGAAACACTTTAATTTTCTTGCTAACTAGGACGCATCCACCAACAAGTATGCCTACACAGTTTTTGAAGCCACATCTTCAATGAATTTGCTGCGTTTATCTAATTTGCAGAATCTTGTGTTAATTAGAATTCTGATCTTCTGCAGGTTTTGATTTTATTGATATTAATTGAGAAAAGGGCAATATTTGCCTTCCTCAGTTTGCTTTTTAAGTTTGTCCAATATACACATGATTTAATTGATCTGAGTAATGCAGATTTTCTTGAATTACCACATACAGTTGATGATAAAAAAATAGACAGGTTCTAAATAAAGATATGAACATAATGAATGATGATAATGCATCAGTTAGTGCATATTCAGCAAAGCTTCTTTATTTTATTTTGGCTTGTACTTAAATTAGCAGAAAAGAAGCTGTGTGAAAGGGGCCTAGAATATGATTACTGCTAAAATAAGTACCTTTACTGTAACAGTATTGTATTTGATGTTTGTATTCAGTTTTTCCATAATTCATGTATGTATGAGGGTTGTCCCAGAAAAACGTGAACTTTTTAAATATTTCATAAACTACCTGACCAAAATTATTCATTTTTGGCACAATGTTGGGAAATGATATTTTCGTCATTTTTGGCTAAATAATTATAATGCATTTAGAAACAACATTTAAAGGGTGATAAATTTCGGTGGTCAGCGCACGGCAATTTCTTGACTTCAAAAATTGCACTGACAGCGATGTTTTCTTTATTATATTCAGGTTATTCGGAAATATAATGTGACCAAAATTACATCCATAGAAACTGTATGATCTAGAGTACTGGTGTGTAAACATGGTAAAAACTCAATACTCGACATTATAAATAATAAAAGTATGACGTTTTATGCACAAACACTATATTAATTAAATATTGTCAAAAACAGTGACGTCGGGCGATAATGTGGCGCACCAAATTATCACACAGAAGTGTATGGAGCGGGGTAAGACCCCTGTTCATATGGGAAAATGTCATTGAGCTGGGAACGAGGGAATGACACAAATACAAGTATCGAACACTGGTTTATACATAGTAAAAGAGGTTCAAAGATGGATGGACTAGTTATCCAATGAAAGAAGCGTTTAGTAGACCTACAAAAATGACAACTAAAAAGTCTAGAGCTGGACGTCATACGTGGAGACCGCCGTTAACTATGCAAGCAGTTAGAATTATGATTGGGAAATTGTCTAATAAAAGAATTAATTCCTTGATTTATTCATAACTGTAGCATGTGTGAAATGGATAACTCGATGACTAAAAGAAAATCAAATGCAATATCGAATTTATGCTTCGAACAAATTTTTAAAGATGCACATTTCCTGAACAAATTTAAAAAATTCACTAGCTGCGTTTTGACGTCGTCTGTGTTGCGCCGACAGCTATTTTGAATGATTCGTTGGATCAAAGATAAAAATGTTATTTATAGAGACATCTTATTGAAATTTCTGTCAATTACGTAAAAAGTGTTGATTATGATGCATACCAATTTTTAATTGTATAATATTAGTGAAACAAAAAAATATTGAAAATGTTCGCGTTTTTCTGGGACAACCCTCTTACTAACACTTAATGTAGATTGAATGTATAGACAAGATAAAAGTTTACTGAATGAATGTACATTGGCTTCTGTTTCTCCCTTGTCTTCCTGTTTTTAACAGACCTGCTTTTGACTGAAGTACATTATATAACTGCTAAGGATTGTATGTCTCAGTAATTTAACTAATTTTTAGACAATCTGAGTGTAAACTTGGAACAAATATGTTTATTAGTAATTTGGGTTGTCAGTCACAGATTTTCTGTATTAAATAAAGGATTTCTTTGTCTGCAGACCAGAAATATACAGGGTATTGCTCCAAGGTTTAGTCATTGAGAAAACAAGTGGGAGAAAATTTCTTACTTCTGCTGATTAAAACAAATCCTTCTCCCCCCCCCCCCCCCCCCAAAAAAAAATCACATGCATACAAAACAAAAACAAACATAAAAAAAAAACAACAACAACAAGTGTCTGTTAAGTGCAATCTATCATTTCTTCCAAACAAGCTGAACTGAAAGATAGTACCCTTGTAGAATTTGACGGTAGGAAATTTTTCTTTAAATCTTTACTTTTTCTGTAAATTCAGACAGCACATGTGATTTCAACATTAATGTTAAGCATCCTGTATTATTATGTGTACCAGCTGGACTGGAAATAGAGGCAATTCATAAGACATTGTTTAAAACCTTGTAGGGTAAACAGATAATGCAAAGTGCATTAAATTAGGTAACCAGAGTCACCCAGGTGACCTATTGCTATGTCAATTAAATAAACCTTATTAAGTGCATGGTTATATTATAAGCTATTGTGACATAACAAACTATTGACTAGATATTTTCATGCCCCGCCATGAATATGGCCGGGGCATATAGTGTTTGTCATGTCCGTCCTTCCGTCCTTCTGTCCTTCCGTCCTTCCATCTGTCTTTCCGTCACACTTTGCGTTTAGCTCTGTTCAAAGCTCAGTTTCAAAGAAACTATCCAAGATATTTTTATCAAACTTCATATGCTGATAGATATTGATGAGGGCTATGCAACTGCATCAACATTTTTTGACCTTGACTTTTCCTTTGACCTTGACCTCACTTTTCTTAAATTAGTGTTTAGCTCAGTTTTAAAGATACCATTCAAGATAGTGTAATGAAACTTCATATGTTGATACCTACTGACGTAAGCTATTCAACTGCATCAACATTTTTTGACCTTGACCTTTCTCTTGACCTTGACCTCACTTTTCTTAAATTAGTGTTTAGCTCAGTTTTAAAGATACCATTCAAGAAAGTGTAATCAAACTTCATATGTTGATACATACTGATGTAAGCTATTCAACTGCATCAACATTTTTTGACCTTGACCTTACTTTTGACCTTGACCTCACTTTTCTTAAATTGGTGTTTAGCTCAGTTTTAAAGATAGTGTAATCAAACTTCATATGTTGATACATACTGATGTATGCTATTCAATTGCATCAACATTTTTTTGACCTTGACCTTTCTTTTGACCTTGACCTCACTTTCCTTAAATTAGTGTTAAGCTCAGTTTTAATGAAACCATTCAAGATATTTTTAACAAACTTCATATCCTGATACATACTAATGTAACCTTTTCAACTGCATCAACATTTTTTGACCTTGACCTTTCCTCTGACCTTGACCTCACTTTTCTTAAATTAGTGTCAAACTTCATATGCTGATACATACCGATAAGAGCTATTCAACTGCATCAATATATTTTGACCTTGACCTTTTCTTTGACCTTGACCTCATTTTTCTTAAATTAGTGTTTAGCTCATTTTTAAAGAAACCATTCATAATATTTTCATCAAACTTCATATGCTTATACATACTGATGTAACCTTTTCAACTGCATCAACATTTTTTGACCTTGACCTTTCCTCTGACCTTGACCTCACTTTTCTTAAATTAGTGTCAAATTTCATATGCTGATACATACCGATGAGAGCTATTCAACTGCATCAATGTTTTTTGACCTTTACCTTTCCTTTGACCTTGACCTCACTTTTCTCAATTTGTGTTAAATTGTTGCATTACTAATATACCCTCGGCGGGGCATTCATGTCCTATTGACATATTTATAGTTCATAATTTTTTTAAAAAAGAGAAAAAAAATGCAAAAATTTTGTTCAATATTTACTCTATTTTTTATAGAATGCATACATGCACAGGAACTTTTTTCGCATATCGTTTTACGCATAATATCAATTGTCAAAGTAGGGGTCTGAGCAGCGACCTGCAGTCAATTTTTTGCACTATTTTCTTTGGAAATCATAGAAATGTTGAATTAAAATCATTTTTGATGTCATATCTTATTTATGACATCAAGTTGGATAAAAAAAATTTCATGCTCTGAAGTCTGCATATGTCCTCCAGGCTTAGAACATAATTTAAGATTTCCCCATCAGTGTTTGATTTGGGGGGGGGGGGGGATATGAGCCTTTTATACTAAATATGTACACTGTATATAGTTCTTTGTGAATTAAGGAAGTAAAGTGAAATTATCTAACTAATAATTTTGTGCACACTATTATATTTTGCAACCACAGCATAATGTTAGATAATTTGCTAAGGAATGTTTAAAATCATAAACCTAATTGATTAATTGATAATGAATTAAGTTATCTATATTAAATATAGAATAAAAAATCTTTAAAGCATGGTGTATCTTAGAAGTGACTGATTCATATATGTACAGAGGAATACTGAGGAAAACTGCACACGGAATAAAGAAGTGTTATGTAATCTTCAAAGAGTCATGAATGAGGAAGACGTGGAATTTGTCTGATTAGTAGCCATCATCATGCAAGATTGCAGACTTGAGGGATAGTAAATTCTGTCAATCATTTTATGCATTTTATTAGAATTTTTTAGGTCACTTGAGCATGTTGAGTCAGATTTTTTGATTTTTTTGATGTCCTTTCTTGAAATTCAGTAGCTGTCTTAAAATTCTGATGGTGCATGTTTGTGAAGAGTTATAAAATCGGTCTTCAAATTCACAGAAAACTTATGCTTGGCCTCAAAAAAAAAAGAAATGTATTTAAATTTTCAAATGCAAGACAGACTTTCTATAAAAGCATGTACCACTTTGTATAAAGCATATTTATGTACCACTTTTTATGCCCTACCCAGGTATTGGTTGGCGTCAGAATCCTGGATAAAGCTATATAAAGAAGCAAGTCAATTCCTGATTAAAGTAAATATAAGGCCTACCTTGACCAAACTTGCATGGATGATGCATCTAGAGATGGACACTTCTACGAGATTTGCTTCAGATGCTGGATCTTATGTAATTATCCAAATGAATGACCAGGTTAAAGAATTTGGAGCAGGTCCATTCCAAAGTATCTATAAGCCCTACTTGGACCAAACTTGCATGGATGATGCACCTAAGGATGGACACTACCAAACTTGCTTTGGCTGCTGGATCTGACCCTTATTTTCCAGATGAGTGAATTTTAGCTATACTTACAGTCCAGTTCAAACATCTGAAACAAGTCTGGTAGTGTCCATCCATAGATGCATCATCCATGCAAGTTTAATCATAACAGCTAGGCTATATAATTATAGAGCTACTCCAAAAAAATTACCCTGGTCATTCATCTGGAAAATGTAGGTCAGATCCAACATTCGAAGTAAGTCTGGAAGTGTCCATTATTAGATACATCATCCATGCTAATTTGGTTAAAGTATGGCTAAAATTCAAAATTGAACTCATATCTGGAATGGTATGTCATTACTGTCTTTATTGCAGTTGTCAGTCTACAACTATCCATTTTGGAATACAGATCCCCATGTATGTTCATAGTATTTAAATTTCAGTTTGTGTTTTAACTGTATATCATTTAGTTTCAAAGTATAGTATGTGCCATGAGCTCATAAACATGTATAACTGCTTATTATCAAAACCCTGCCTTTTAAAAATTAAAAAAAGACATAAATTAAACTGCCCAGAGTATCTTTTGCAGAGTAAGTCAAAGTGGCCTGTAAAGCTGGTATCTTTTTAAAAATATTTTATGACAGTTCTTGTGATATAAGGTGTGAAAGTCGGACAGATGGACATACTGTTAGAAAGACAGATGCTTGGTAAAGTGATCCCTGCTTTGCAGGGGACACAGAAATGAGATAATTTTCTAATACTTTTGTTGAAAGTATTGATATATATGAAGAAAAAAAAATAAACATAATTTACCAATTCAAAATAAAATGCAAAACAAAAATGATAATTTTAGACTGGCTCGTGTTATGTTAGTTGCACACTTCAAAGCCAGGGCGAGGATAAGCATCTGTTAATTTCTGCAACAGGCTTCATTTTCACTAGATTAGGAGGATTAAAGGATAATCCCTAAATAGCAGCAACACATACAGCTGTTTTAATGTTCAGTGTTCGTGATCCATTGAGGTAAATAACCTTGACCTTCAGACAGAATTTAGATCAAAGAAAAAATAAGCTGTACTTACAAGCATTGAGGTCAAGTGATCAGAGCTAGAAAGAAAATTGAAAAGCTACAATCTTTTGTAATATCTTTGCAGACGTATACAGAAGAGACGAAATGATGAGTTTATGTTCACAGTGGGATTACTTCCTTTGATTATAATGTCTTGTTGCATGAATGTTGTTTTAAAAGTAAATATCTAACACTGAATATTTTATTTTTTGGCCCTAGCTTGCAGATTCATTGTTACAATTACATGCAAACAGGTTTTCCATATATACAAAAAGAAAAATCTTTTGTCGTAAAGCCTAGCTACTTTAAACATGATTTCAATTATTGTTTTTAGTGTAAAACTCAATACTTGTATTTCTAAGTTTCATAAAATGTATAATGATGCAAATGGACCATGAGGTAATATTATAATCATGATAAGGCCATCTTAAAAAAATTGTTTGGTTGCTCTCTACCGACCGACCAACTGGCTAAAAATAGCCCAACTCTAAACTTTTTTTTTACCTCCTGGAAGCAATTTTTTTTTTATGTATTCTGGACAATAGATTTTAAAAATTTAGCATTGAAATTGAAATTTTCTGAGAATTTTTTTTTTTTTTAACCTATGTATTGTTTTTTTGTTTTTTTGTTTTGTTTTTTGTTTTTTTTTTTGTTTTTGCTACATACCTGTATTTATTAATTCTTGAAAAAATGTAAAAAGGTATTTTTTCAACATTTTCAACATTTTTATATGATGCATATAGATTGATATGCAACATGCACGTAATATAAAGAGTACAAATTTGCAGTCCAACATCCAGGTGGCCAGCCAGGCCATAAAACTTACAAGATGAGCTCACTTTTGATGTCAGTCTCACTTTTCTACAATAAACATGAGACAGAGATCAAAAAGCCATCTCTTCTGAGTTTTAAGACCCCAGGGATCTTGGGCTGAAGGTGTGAGATATCTATAAATGCAAGGAATGGAGAAGTTGAGGTTTAAATAAATACCAAGGAAATTGAGATATTGCTGTTAGAGGTACTGATGTTCAACTGTTTAGTTATATGTTCTGAATTGCCTTCCATACCTGTAGGTCTAACATGTACAAAATACCACCTGTAAGAGAGATTCCCATGTTTTTTTGTCATTTCATGTGCAAAAACCTCATCATTTCTGATGACTGTTAAAGGATTCCTTTTATTTTTACCGACTAAAAGTGCATTGTAAAAATCTTGAGGCTCAAAAAACTGGTATATTTGGAATTTATATGAAGAGCTGGCAATAAATTAAGTGATGTTTAGAAGCAGACTGGGTGGTTACCAGTTAAATGTTTGAACTAAATAACAGAACATATAGCATCAAATGTTGGGGAAATGTATTGATTTAATGTAATGCATGTCTGCTGTTAAAAATCTTTACAATTCTGATTGAAAAGAATTCTGTACTTAAGTGCATTGAAATTAAATGAATTTCCCCTACACATTTACTAGTTCTCGATGTCTGTTTATGATAATTCTCCCATCTTCTTCATTGGATTTCTAAGCATGTAAGTGTTCACCAAAAGTGCAGTCTTAAAAGTGATAAATGTTATGAACTTGTGAAAACAATTGAACTTGTAGGGTGCATGAATCTTATCCTCTATTATGAAAATATTTTATTGTCTCTCTATACAAGATATAAATCTAATGTGAATGGGTATTAGACATTAGATGCAGGTTTTAATAAAATTTAGGTTGTCAGCTTCTTTCTTTAAACATTTTTGTTGTTGTTGTTGTTATTTAAATAACAACTGTTAGTATACTGAATAAACAACAGTTTGTACTTAATTTATCTAATTGCTTGAATAAAAATTTGACAATTTTTTTTAACAGACATCTAGACTACATCAAGGTGTACTGTCAGCAATATTCAAAGAAAGACAACTCTAATTTCATGAGGGAAATTCAAGGTAAACTAAGACAAGTTCTAGTTAGATATCCTTATGTTAATTTGGATTAACATTTTAATTTTTTGATTCTTGTCTGGGTGACCATTCTATTGCCAATTAGTTGGAAAGTTAACACTTTTATTTCTGAAGTGTCCGCATTGAAATGGTCAGTGGTATCATGAGTGAGATGGTCAAGAAATTCATCACATCAGCAATACTGTTCGTTATTTCCATATATTTCATCAGCAATACCTGATGACTTCTTGTTCTGAGTTAGAAATTCGAACCTTCATGTTAATTAAACCCCATTTAATCAATTAAAAAAATCTACCATTTTCTGTGTAGAAGATAGTTGTTTTCTAACTGAACTCTAATTTTGCTTGTGTTAAGTAGTTAGTACTGTAACCATGACTGAATCAATTTCAGGGACACTTTCTGTCAATACATTTCTATGCAAAATCAAGAATTTATATTTTGCCACATTTTCTTGTTTTCAAATCATAAACTATTAGTCTAATTTAAGATCAATTAATCAGACTGGTTTATCTAATTCAGAGTCAAATTATTATGTAGAACTCAATCTACAGGCAGTTTTGTTTGAAACTGAAATCTGCATTTTACCTTTCCTCTTTATTCTGTAGTCAAATGTATATTTTCATTGTCAGAGTTACAAGGAATGCATTCTGCAAACTGTTTACAGACAGAAGAAATTGAGAACCACATTAACAGAGGTAAAATAATATCATTAGTCAAGCTTTTTCATAACATTATTTTTTCTTAAACATGGGCATTCTGCCAATTGTCATATCAATAATCAATATATAGTGCTCAAGACAGCTCTGACCGGTTGACAGGGGATGCTTTCTCCTCCTAGGCACGTGATCCCATCTGTGGAATTCCCAGGGGTCCATGTTTTATGCCCTGTTCACAGATTTGTATTGTTTGGAATTTTTTGGGGTTTTTTTTTAGATTGAACAATGTTCATTATCTTTACCTATTTCATTATACTTTTAAAATTTGTTTCCTTATAATATAAATCTGTACTAAAGAAAAAAGTCTAACATCCCTAATGTTGAAATTAATGATCCAAATAAAATTAATGATGGTCTGCTCAGTGAGATGTTGGACCAGTAGATGAGATGTTGGACAGTTATGTTGTTTATTTATTTGCTTTATGTCAAACTGGATCCTCAGTGTAGGGGGTGGGGGTCAACTGTATCTTGTGTGCATTCGTGTTTGACAGTTTACACAGTATTGATCGAGTTAAATCTACAGTAGGGGTAAAGAAATTTACAACAAAATTTGGTCATCTCCATCACAAACATTGAATCAGTGCAAGATACATTATAATAAACAGTAAAAGGTTTAACAAAACAATTATTGACAAAATGCATGCTGCTCTCAAACACAGACAGTAAATCCATGCTTGCTAAAAAGTAAATTGAGTTTTGTCTTGATCATAGCAGGCTCAACTAAAAAAAGGGTTAAAAGTGAAGGAAACAATGTTTCTGTTCTTTATGCTACCAAGCACTGATGCATGCTGGGATATATTCACTATATTTGTAATTTTTTTCTTTCTAATATGGGTATAGCCCCATATAAGGGCAATCAAAATACAAGATGCAAACATGTCAAATGACAGATTTACAAACCAGAAAATTACAAAGGCTGCTGTGAGAATTCCATGGGTTTTCAACAAAAATAACAGAGACGTAAAATTTGAAAAATGTTCATTTATTTTAATTTCTCAATATGTCATTGAATTTAAGCAGCTCAAAAAGAAAGCTCAAAATCATAGAAATGAACATGATTTATTTTTGCTTAACTTAATTAGAAATCAACACTTTCAGCAATGTTCAGAAATTATTTGATTCATCTGATTCAATAAGTTTGATTGAACTTTTGAAAACCATAATTTTTTTCCGTCAAAGTTGACCTTGACTAAATTATTTTCCTTACATCTATACAATTATATTATTTTGTTTTACAGGTATCAGGCATCTTTCCAAAATCAAAAGAGCTCTCAATGGTGAGGTGAATGAAAAAGAATCAAGAGGTCAAGGACAGGTCAAAAATACCAAGGTCACTTACAGCCAAAGGAGCACGATAAAATCAGCTCTTCAGGAAAGAAACTAATGTCAAAGAGAATGTGAGGAGACACAAATATATTGATCTAATTTGAATTTAATTTTAATTATATTGATACTTCTGCTTTAATAGTATTCAAAAGTTGTACACTTGAATGAACACTGTGCATGTATGTCTTATTTTGGCTTTAAACAAATATATATTTATGCATTTACACAGTTATAATCTGTCTACTTGGTCACACAGTATAGAAGATTCAACATATTTCTTCAAAGTTAATATTAATAATTTAAGGATGTGTAATTATCTTTCTCGGAAAATAATTTAACCTCATCTGTATACATAATTATGTAGTTTAATATTATTAAGACACCAAACCAATAAAAACAGTCAGATAGTTATTGGAAATATTTTTCAATATTCTATTGAATATTTTAATGAATGTGCAAACTGCTGATATATACTGTAACATCATCCCCCCATAACAATCCTGAAACTTTACTTTCTGGAATATTGAAAAATAAAAGGTCCATGTCTATGTTTTAAGACTTATGCAAGTAAATATACCCACGTTTTGTGCATGCATATTTATTTTATCTCTATCTTTTGTATTAATTTTCTTTATAATTATTTGACTTATGTAGATGTGATTATGCAATAAAAACAAATAAACCATTAATTTGCCATTTTCTTATGAGAATTCTGCATTTTGAATATTATGTAAATAGTGTTAATTGCTTTAAATGTTATACATTATTTTATGTTAACCAATTAATGTATGAAGTTTTATTAAGAATGAATTTACACTTTGAATTCCATATTATTTTCTTAAAATTGAACATTATATTACCAAGACATAGATGTATTTTAAGAAAAATGGTTGAAATCCTATGGACTTTTTCAATGTACAGAGAAAGATAATTAAAAGGAAAACTTAAAAATTTATCACCAAAAAGAATTGTCTGGAACCATCTTGATTAGTTTAATCTCTTCAAAAGTTTAATTTATATATTATAATGAATCATTTATTAACAACTGAGAAAGAAGACATTGTTAAAAAAAATAAGATAAAAAAAAAAATAGGACAAATTACATTCTCTTTCAAAATGTTGATTTTTGAAAAGAAAATTATTTGTCACCTGAAAGTTTGTTTTGTTAAACATGCTAAAACTGTTTTCCTTCTTTTATCTTTTTAGTCTCAAAGCAATGTATTTGATTTACTGATTTTTCTTTTTAATAAAATTATTTGTGTTTTCATTTATATTAATTTATTAAAGGGCTTTTTTGTATACATTCATCTTGTTGATAAAGAAGTGCTACATAATTCATATACATGAACATATTGATTTTTGACCATTGTTTATTTGATTATAAAATATACGTGCTAGTTTTGTCTATTGGATTTAGTGATACACTCATTTAAATACAGATATATTGTTGATTTTTGCCTGTGATCTTTTTTGATTTTGATTGTTTTTTTTTTACAATATAATTAGTGATTATTTATAATGTATTGTCTAGTCGCTTTTAATTAGTATTTCGAAATCGTACAAAATTGTTCAAACCCAATGCTAAAAAAAAAAAAATAAAATATTAATCATTAATTATTTGTTTTTGTTATTGTACATTGGTGAAGAGCAATCCATTGAAATGAGGAAAATATGATGGCTTTATTTATTACCACTTAGTGCTTGCATAGGGTTACAAAGGGGATGATATAGTTATATTTGAAAATGATTGCTAAATAATTTTTGTAAGAAATATATCACTTTTTTTTTTTTTTTTGCAAATTGTGTGGAAATCCTCAAATTTATTCATATCATAGAATATCATATATTTAAACCACATGTTTGTGTACCCAGAAATGAAGAAAAAGAGAATCTCAAAAATTTAGGATATCAATTATACCGAGATTCCAATGGACTGTTATTTTTTAAATAGTCCTTTCAACCAATGTCACAGTATCCTTTTATTAGTTCTCATAAGGTGAAAGCTCAAAGAGCTAATGCTTTGGTCATTTTAATTTTTTTGAATGTGGGTCATAATTCATGAACCCCTTGGACAATTATTTTGGTCAAATTTGTGATGGAGTATCCTTGGTCCAAGGGTTTTCATAGGATTTCAACCTTATAAAAAGGAAGAGTTATAGTATAGGGATTTTAATCAAAAGTAGGTGTTGTTGAAACGTCTTTTTTCTCAAGAACCACTCGGCAAGTTAAAATTGTTCTATATTGCCCCATCACCCTGGGGCAAATAGCTTGGTCTCTGGTTGTCTGTCTATTTTGCCCACTATAAGAACAAGGATCATCAAATTTTATTCATTGATGTATCTGATAATGCATCTAAGGACTTTAGGATATTTTTACCCAAAAGTAGCTAGGTCACCATGAAATATGGAGATAACGAACAGTATTCAAAGTCCATTAAAACAACACAAATCAGGAGCAGAGCTACACGGACCTCCAAAAACATCAGAGGTAGGATCAGGTGCCATGGAGGAGTGAGCAGATCCCCTGCCGTCCGGTCACACCCGCCGTGTGCTCCTTGTCATGATCGGAAAATACCGGAAAAATCCGTCGACAAATCAGTGTGTAAATAATGGCCTAACTATTGGTATGAGAAACGTCAGTCAGCATATGACTTAATGATAGATTGTATTTTCTGACACGGTCATTGTATCGACCATAGAACTTACGAAATGATGACTTTAAACGAGAATGTTGATATTCTTGTTGCATCAACTTGTTTGTCAATAACTTACCTCGTTTTTGAAATTGTTCATTCGTAGATCATGCTCTTGCGTATCGAATCAACTGAGAGATATACACCCCATATGCAGGTGATAAGGATATATTGCTGCATAAGAAAGAGAAGTTGACGATTGAAAAGTTAAAGTCATCACGTTTATCATAAAGCTTTATTGTTAGATTACCATTAACATCTTACCTCTAGTTAAATATCTATTTCATATCTTTGGACTATATCAAAAGTCCACCCATGTTTTGTCATCCATCACCCAAGTCTGATAAAAATGTTCTTTAGATTAATTTCCTGTCAGAATTCTATAAACTGTTATGGTTTGAAATGGTTAGTGTCTTTCAATGTAAATCTTGTAAATCTGGTATTTTCAGATATGGTATTTTGTTCACAGCATCGATACTTTTTGGTGTCTCTCTACATATTTCGATCGACAGATCGACTGCGATCTTTAAACTTTCCTTTTTACTTTTGAATTCCTTAATCCATCTGTAAACTGTACAAAGTGAACGACTTTCCTTTACCTTTCATATAGGTTCTTCAGCGATTTTAATAATGAAGTACAGTTTTCACATACGCCCTCATTTCCCTCTCTTGGTAGAGATCATTTTTAAACAGTTTTCAACTCGGTGTAGTGACCACGCTTACTTTTTAAAAAGGAAATTTTTGCGATGTTAGTAGGGAAAGTAAGCATGCAGTTTTCTGTGATTATGAGTTCTTTCATAGAACTTTTCGACTGTAAAAAATTAGAATTAAATATTTCTACATTTTTTTTACGATAAACAGTATGTTGCATTACTTGTAGAAAGACCCTCGTAGTTAAATTTGTTCCAGTGGGGCTTTGTTGGTCATTATTGGAAAAAAGAATCTTGAAATTAAATACATGTAACTTTAAAAAAAAATCATATATTTATTAAAAGCAAGCAGGTTATTTAATGATGGTGTAAGTTATGGGCCCAATACCATGATAAACCACGTAAATTGTACGTAACGTAGGCTCAGACCCCTAGGTTTCGCTAAATTCATCATCTGTACCATTAAATAGGTCTCCTTGGCGACTATGAGAGAAGCTTCAGACAATATGATCCCTTTTTAAGATTGTTAAATTCATGTCATAAAGCCCCCGAGCTCCATCCCTAGATGAAAGTGAGTTTGTTTAGGGATGAGAAGCGTGAACTGTCAAGATAACGAACAGCATTTATGCTCTCGAGTTCAATTAATACAAATTGAGAGAAGGGTAACACACGGACCTCTGAAAATACTAGTATCGGAGGTGATATAAAGTGCCAAAGATGGATAAGCACCTCCTGTAGACTGTCCACACCTGCTGTGAGCCCCTTGCTATGGTCGGGTAAACTTAGGATTCAGGATGAATATAACGGCCGTAGATTTTACAAAATGTTTTCTTTAAAGGAGATTGTTGATGCCCTTATACCCTTGTATCATTAACTTATTTTTTATGAGCCTGTCTCGTTTTACAAATTGTTTGTACGTAGAACATGTTCTTGCAAATCAAGTCATCTGGGAGACATAACATAATATGCAGATGGATATAGTATATTGCTAAATAAGTAATGGAAGTTGACGATAGAAATTCAGTTGACCGTCAAGGTTGTGTTTTATATCTCATACATTCAAATGGTTTAGAACAGAAATACCTTGAAAATATTGGTCATTCAATTACAAACAAAAAATTAATTCCTTCACATTCTACAATAATGTTCTAAAATAAAATTTGAAATTTGTATTACCTATTTAAAAATTCCATTCAAAAAGTAAGCCTTATTGGAAATGGCCTTTACTTTCATGTTTAAAACTTTTTTATCAAAATAAAGAAAAATCATTCAATTCACACTTTGACTTTCATATACATGTATATGACCTCATCTTATCTATATCCTTCTGAACTTGAAACATACCGATGAAAATACTGAATTGCTAATAAAAATCTGAATTAATCATATTAATATTCTAGTCACATTTGACCGTTATTGTGTCTGCATATTGATCAGGAGGTTTGGATAATTATTCATTTTTAGAAGCAAAGTAGCTATGGATTATGACGATGTTATAGCGGATTTAGACTCCTTTGGTAAATACCAAAGACGCGTTTTTTTCCTGATTTCTATACCATGTCTGTTCACAGGATTTGGAGCCCCAGCAACGAGTTTTATTTTAGGAGATCATCAACACAGGTACAACTTAATAAGAATATCTTACATGCTAATCTCTGTAATAGATGTAATCCTATTAGCTGTTATTTTCACTCTGATTTTTCGCAGGTCCATTTGATATAATATTAGAATCAGACCCAGTGGGATAAAAATTAAAAGTTCATGACTTAATTGCAAAAAAGTTTATTTGAAGAGAAATTTTCCCTCACAAATGAGCATTTTTAGCATAAAATCGGCTTCAGCCCAGTCCTAGATATGTATTATATGGAATCTGAATGGGGTCGTGTTTCACTATCACATATCTCATCATCGTGGATACGGATCTATGTGCGACGGTGCGATAAAGCAATGGCGATGACGTGATGACGCCATGCAATGACAATGGTGCGATAACAATTGTCTTATGGTACGAGAATAAAGCGCTAGCTCTTCTATCTGTCGCTTCATATTTTGCTATCACACCTTTGCTACAACAAGGTGGCGCGACTGCATCATATCGTCATCACACCGTTGCGTCAATGTCATCGCACCATTGCGTCATCTGTATCGTGTCATCGTATCATCGATCCAATTTTCGATGTTTGATGGCGCGAAATCAAATTACATTACCCTATCCAAACTCCATAGTACAAATTATTCGTGCAAAACAAGAATATCTGAAAGTTTGATCAAGTATATAGACTTATAATATTTAGCTAAATTTATGCATCATTCACAATGTTTACTAAATGTGTATTCATATTCAAATATTTTCATATTCATTCAAATTTTAGGAGTTTCACTCACTTGAATATGTTCAGTGAATTGATAAAAAACGATATATTTTGGAAATAAGTACTTCAAGCAAATCAAGAGTTTTATTCTGTTCATCTTTCAAGTCTTCGTTGCAGGTGTAAAATCCCATTTTTTGACAATGACACATACGACGTACAGTCCGATTTCCATTTGGCCGCCATAAATAAGACGATTCCTTTGAATCCAGATGGAACATATTCATCTTGTACCGTTCTGATAAATGGGACAGAACGGAAGTGTTCCGAATGGGTATATGATCGTTCAAGATTTATTCGTACTGTAACGTCAGATGTGAGTAACTCTAGATTAATTTTGCATTCCGATTATTACACTTTCTCAATTGTTAGAAATATTTCCATGTATACGTTTATTAATCTCCATGTATAGATTTAAGATAATATTGTAAACTGAGTATGTTTCGTGGAATATGGAGATAAAGAACAGTATTCAAGCTCAACGTTCATTAAAATAATACAAATCAGGAGCAAACACGGACATCCAAAAACATCAGAGTGGGATCAGGTGTCATTGAGGAATGAGCAACCCCTGCCGACCGGTCACACCCGCCGTGTGCTACTTGTTTTGATCGGGAAATAACGGTAAAATCCGTCGACAATTCAGTGTGTAAATAATGGCTTAACAATTAGTATGAAAAACGTCAGTCAGTGATGACTTAATGATAGATTGTATTTGCTGACAAGGTCATTGTATCAACCACAGAACTTACGAAATGATGACTTTAAACGAGACTATTGATATTCTTGTTTCATCAACTTGTTTGTCTATAATTTACCTCGTTTTAGAAATTGTTCATACTTAGAGTATTCTTTTGCGAATCGACAATAATTGCGATGAGGACCCCCTCCCCCAATTCACTAATTATCAAGTACTTTGTCGGTATAAAAACTGTGCACAAGCAAAGATACCTCGCTTCACAATATTATGTGCAAAAGAAAAAAAAGGGCGAACAAGCGAACACAATGCCTATGGTGCAACAAATAAGATGATGAAAAAATTAAATCTCAATTATAACAAAGTTTTCTTCTATATTTCATCTAACATTAACGGATACTCTATGTAGAATCTCCACTTTCTGCAAAAATCTCACATTAATATTGAAATTATTATGCCCACAGAGGGCAAAAATAATCATTTTCTCATGCTACACATGTAATACAATTTTTTCATATCCGTTTGTATCTTTCCCGAGAATTACTTGAAGTCCATTTAGTCATAAATTTCAATAATACATGTAAGAACACTGTAAATACTAAATTCACAAATTTGAATTTGATTTTTATACAACTGAAGCTATAGGCATTCTGCACGCCTTGTTCACTTATCTTCTTTATTCCTGAAAACTGCACTAATTTATAATACAGTTAAAATTAAGATCTAGAATTTCACTCTTACACTTTGGTAAGCAATTACATAATTATTCATGTCACGTGTCCGTGTTAAAGGGAGGTTTTTTGGCAAAACGTTATTATTTTTGTCAAGGTTACATGTAAAATATGTTTTTGGTGTCTGCATAAGAACAGGTAGAACATACCCATATTCCATTTAACCACTACATTTACCATTGCAGGCTTTTTTTTTTACTATTTTTTGGGAAAATGATATTTCTCAAAGTTAGAGGGATACATCTATCTTATTTTAGGAGATATTTCACAGATACAGCTCTTAAAGAGACATCTATTTTACGGAAAGCTTCTAATAAAATAAATAGTGAAACTAAATGGACAAAGCTACTGGCTAAAATTATACTTATAGTGGAAAGAAATATATATTTTTTTAAAAAGTGTATTCTAAACATGCGTTAAAAGTTTCAGAAACTTCTCTTTTAGTTTAACCTTGTGTGTGATTCCCTTTATGTTCGTTCTCACCTGAAGATCGCATATCTAGTGGGTTTTCTTGTGGCCTCCATGTTTTCACAGATTGGAGATGTGTAGGTGTTTTATCTTAATTGTTGTATAATATAAATGTTTCCTGAATTATGTTTCTCTAAACTGTTATATATAGAAATACCCTATTACTGTACCACATCTTTATAAGAAATTTCAAACATTTTCGATTTTTTACCTAAAGCACAAATGGGTCAGATTCTGAAAGAAGAATTGGTTGATTAATGCGCATTTATTAATCCAAAGAAGAAGGTACAGTTTTGACTTTATTATGCCCTAAAAATTTAATGTCTTCAAAGAGTTTTGAAACTGGCTTAAATATTAGTGGAGTATATGACTGTGATAAATCGGGAAAGAATATGGCATGAATGAGTACCATTCTGGAAATATGACGTCGTTAATTAGATGCATTTCTCTGTTTTAAACAGAAAAAGCCACAAAATGACCCGTTTCAAGGGTCATTTTCATTAAGAAAATAGTGTCCACAGCCGTCGCCCACTATAACATTCGGATATGTTGTGTAAAAGTCTTTGGAAAATGACATATCTCAAAATCTTTGTGGGCGATGGCTGTGGACAATATTATCTGAAAGAAAATTCCAAGGAAAATTAGTGTCTTCTGCAACTTTTTAAGAAAATACGGGAAAATGCACATGTTTATGACATCACAATTAGCATTTAGAAGGTCATGTGAGAAAAATGATTTGCAAGATCTCTCTGCATGGAATTTCAATGATTCAGAAAGCATGAGTTTTAATTTTTTACATCACTTTCATTTTTAAGAAAAACACAGGGCAAGATTTGTATTGAAACCGTACCTTGTTCTTTATAGAGGATATTCAATGTTTTGTTGTTGGATATGGAATTAATTTCACGAGAGGGACAGGATTTTTTTTTATTTTCACTCGTGTTTTGCACTCGCAAAAAAATCAAACAATCCTGTCCCACTAGTTAATTAAATTCCATATTCAACAACAAGACATTGAATTTCCTGTTTATTACATTTTATTTTATTTTCCCTTTGCCTCTGTCTTTTAGGCTGTGACGTTATAGTTGAGACGTCATAGCTTAGCAGTTGTGAGATTGAAAACATTGTAACATGGATTTTAGCAACATATTTTGGAAGAAATTGGCAGTTTTAGTCTCTATCGGGATGATTTAGTTACTAATTCTAATTTATTAAAGGCAAAATTATTTATTTTTTTTACTTACTTTGATATCCTTTCACACTGTGAGAGAATATCACTTTGGTATCCTTTCACAGTGTGAGAGAATATAACTTTGTTCAATTAATAAATCACAGTATTTCACCGGTGAAAATGCAATAAATATATTTTATTGCTTTAGATATGGGAGACGGATTGTTATGTTAATACTATGTACACTCAGGGTTGCTGTTGTCTTTGCTGTCCCATTTTCCATTAACCCGGCGATGTTTGGGATTTTGAGGTTTTTTGAGGGATTGACTTCTCTAGCTTTCTATCAGATGTCATTTGTAACAGGTACACGTACAAACACACGCATGGGTGCACATGCGCACATCATGCTGTTTCTTGAAAAAACTTTTAATTTATACGATAATAATCTTGATTATTGATTTTTTTCATTTCATTTAAAATTTAGCTATTGAATTAGTCGGCCCATCAGAAAGATTATTCACAGCTAACTTTTCTAAGATGCTTTATTGTATGGGTGAGTTCCTGTTGATTTTACTGGCGTTCTTTGAGAGAGATTGGGTTTATCTGACTCTGTGGCTGGCCATACCGACTGTGCCCCCGCTCATATACTGGCTGTATGTATCATATGATCACAATTATTTACCTTTTTTTGAAATATAATTATCATACATGGAAAATCATACCTAATAGGTGTTATATTTAGGCCATTTTAGATTAAATTCTAAAAATCTAAAAAAAGAGACTGAATACTCAAATATTAACCTCTATTATTTCTGTCAATCAAGTTATTTAAAGATTCTTTGTACCGGGTACATAAAAATGTACATTTTCTCTTCAAAATGAAAATTAAGGGGAGAAAATGTTTTCTGTGAAGGAAATGAGGAAACTTTCTCATTACCTTTTTTTAAAAAATCAATTTTGTACTTTATATTCCTGCAAAAATAGCTCTATTATTGATCTATCCTTTAAGCTAAAGTTATTTCGGAAAAAAAGGTTTAATCAAAATAGTTTATGTTTTTCTCACACAATTATTGCATTTATCCATAATTTTGTTGTGATACGAAAATGCATTTTGGATATTACTGATAGCTGATTTTGTAAATGTAGACCTGGTTTGATTCCTGAATCCCCCCGCTGGTTGACCTCACGAGGAAAGACGGAAGAAGCTACCAAGATATTACGAAAAATTGCCAAAGTTAACAAAATTAAAAAGAAATTCGATGCTAGTAAAATTAAAAGAGAAGAAGATCAAGGAGTCAAAGTGATTTTAAAGGAATTGGTACATTCGAGGATTCTCATGAAAAGGCTATTCATAGTGATTGCAAACTGGTAATACTTTTCAATGTATGTGAATAGAAAAAAAGAGGTGTGATTCTGAAACACTGATACCCTCGTATAACAGCTAATGGCCAAGGTTAAAGTTTTCATATGTAGGTCAAACTCCAAAGTCAAGAGTTCAATAATTAGTCGGTACCCCAAAAAGTCATAAGGAATACACAGTCATGTGAAATATGAAAGCCCTAACACCAACCAGTCAAAAAAAAAAGCAAAGGTTAAAGGTTTTTAAAAGTAGGTCATACTCCATTGTCAGGGTCATGAGGTCAAACATATTGGTACCCAAAGAAAAATCTTGTCACAAAAAATACACGTGAAAAATGAAAGACTTAGCACCAACCATTCAATAGTTATGGGCAAAGTTAAAGCCAACAAACAAACAGATTAATAGACAAACGGAACAGAGGGACAATCATACCAAAACCTATACATGAATTCCCTTATTCTTCGATTTCGGGGGCATAAAAATACAAAGCAAGAAAAGAGGCCCCGGGGCTTGAGTTGTTCTTCCGATAAACTGCACAGCATATGAACTTCTTTTGAATCAGTATATCCCGAGGCCTTAAGGCATGTCAACTGATTCCACTGATAGGATTAAATGATCCTAACCCTTTTAGTATACAAAGTAAAAACACTTTACAACGAATGATTATAAATTTCAAAGCGAAGAGTACTAACCTTTTTTTGGTATCCATCTTCCAAAGGTGCATCAACCTCCAAATTAAGTTTTGTCACCGCACCTGTCTGATAGTATTCAAAACGTTAAAAGATTTCAAAATGTTTAGCAATGATATCAGAAAGTAAGTCTTTGTGACATACTTTAAGATCAACATATTGCAATGCCACAAACTGCATCAACTTATACAGTTTGCTTATTCTGAGCTTCATAATATTCAAGATATTGAGCTAAAAAGTTTGAAAACGATTTCAAAATAGAAAGACACTGTGAGCTTCTCTGGATCAACATATTTTTAGACACAAACATACATCTAATTTAAATATTTGATGATCCTAGGCTTCTTAGAATTTAATGTACGTGTATAACATCTCAGGAGGATTTTTTGTCCCAATTTTAAATAAGTTTGTTTGATTGTTGTTTAACGTCCCTCTCGAGAATTTTTCACTCATATGGAGAAGCCACCACTTGCCGGTGGAGAGCTGCAAATTTTTGACCTATACTCGGCACTTAGGGCCACTGAACAGTGAGGGATCTTTATTGTTCCAGCACCTACTGCGACACGGGACCTCGGTTTATACGGTCTCATCCGATTGACCGGTCTCCACGTCCCACAGTGTGATTCTAACCTCCGAATTAAGGATCAACTCCTTCCTCCGAGACTCTAAGTAGACACTCTAACCACTGCGCCACCCGGGCGACAATATCAAATGAATAGATGATTTTAACCTACATTTTATCAACAGATCTTTAGGCCTCAAGGTACATCGGTTGACAAGGTTTGATGATTCTTAGTATCAAGATTCTAAAGATTACAAAATGAATGAAATTAACTTCAAAAAGAAGTTCACTGTGAGCAACTTCTGAATTAAAAATTCCTGAGGCACAAAGATGCATCATCTTATTAGATTTGGTGACCCTGCATATTATATTGAACAGAAAATATAGGATGAAAGTTTATATTAAAATGATTTTGCCCTAAAATTCAGTAAATAGGGCACAGTAACCTACTTTTGAATTGACATACTTTGATCCTCGAGGATGCATCAACTTACAAGGTCTGGCGATTCTATGCTTCTTAGGTGAACGATTTGAAAAATTCAGAAAGTAGGTTACTTTGAATTAATATTTGGTTGGCAAATTCTTATAGGCCTCAAGATATCTGACAAGGTTTATGATCCTTCTAACAAAAAGTATTTCACTGTCACCTATTTTTGGGTTATTATATCCCATGTCTAAAGATGCATTAAATCACTTATAGGTTTGATAATCTTGGGCCTCTTAGTATCCAAGTTAAACTGATCAAAAATATATCATAATTAAATTAAAAAAGAAGGTCACTGGGATCTATTTATGAATAGACACATCCCATAGCCATAAGATGCATAAACGAATTAGGTTTGGTTACTCAAAAGCTCATAGTGTTAAAATATACAGGTTAATAGATCGTCAAACGAGAAACCATCACATTCAGAGAGCAGGTTACTGTTATTTACCTTTACGTTGACACACCGTAAAACCTACAGATGTATCAACAGACATGCTTTACGTTGACACACCATAAGACCTACAGATGTATCAACAGACATGCTTTACGTTGACACACCGCAAGACCTACAGATGTATCAACAGACATGCTTTCATGATTCTAAACCTCTTGTAATCGAAATAATTTATATGAAATCTTTTCAAAATGAAAAGCTATAAAATTCAGAAATTAGGTCATTGTGACCACTGCTTAGAAGAATTAGAAAGATTAAGTGATATACTAGGCAGCTTATCAAGCAATTAATCGACTTAATTTTTTTTTAAACCTATATCTATTAACTGTTCTAACTTAACGTCTCATATTAAGTAATAAAGTACATCCGTCCATAAAAAGAACTTGAAAAATCATATACTAAAAGGAACTTCATTTATACATCAAAGGTTTGTGGCTGCCTTTATATACTATGGATTGACAATGAATGTTGGTTCACTTGGCGGGAATCTGTACGAGAACTTTTCGCTCCTTGTGTTCGTTGAGTTGATAGGATATTGTGTCATCTTCTTCATGAACAAGACAGGGCGGAAGCCATTGCATCTGCTGGCCATTTTTGGATGTGGTGTTGCATCAGTCGGATCAATTCTTCTCATTCTTTTTGCAGAAAATAGTAAGAATTGATTGGAGATCAATGTGTTTTTAAGTAAATGTTTTTCTTTTGAAAATTTAATTGATTTTAACTAATATATATCCTTAATTTGTTAATAAAGCTGCATTATTTTTTTTTTTTATTTATTATACTTTGTTGGTAAAGTTCTTTGCTTTATACTAACGAATTTAACTTGTTGGTGACAAAATAGAAGGAAGAAAAAATAAATGTTTTCTCGTAGTTGATGAATCATTAGGAACACATATAAAAAAAGAAGCCATTTTTTCTGTATTTACTTAGCTCTGTACTGGCTACATATTGCCCTGTCCTTAATCTCTCGGTTTGGTATATCTGTCCTGTTTGCTGTACTGTACGTATACACGGGGGAATTGTTTCCTACTGTCATCAGAAGTATCGTGATGGGAACCGTTAGCATAGGGGCCAGAGTGGGAGCTCTTATCTCGCCTTACCTGTATGACGTTGTAGGTATCGAATTATCTGTATTGCATTTGAAGTATAAAATACCTGTGTAACGTTGAAGTTATGAAATTAACTGTATAGTATTTGAAGTATCGAATTACTTGCATGACGTTTTGTCCTAGCAAAAATACTGTAATTTTATTAAACTGACGCCACGAGCGTCAGGCAGTATAAGGATCAATTTTTTCCATGGTCCGAAACTAAGTGATCATACTTAGTGAGCTAGATTTTGTGCAAGCTGATTTACATCGGATTTTGTTATCTGCATTTTAACAAATACAGTTTGCAGAAGAAAGAATCATATTACTGTTGCAAAATGATGATGTGTTTACTTCCTTCAGTTTTTTTTTTTTTTAACCTATTTTTTTGCGATTCTTTATACGGACATGTCCGTGTAACATTTTTTCTGCGTTTCTAAACAAGAGTGTAGGCCAGTACCTGTAGAGGAATGGGCTTCACTCCCGTAAGGTTCTAAGTAAAGAATCGGCTAAATGAAGAAGACATCATGATTTGTACTGATTTTCATTTCATAAAAAATAATTTAAAAAAAAACACATTTTAATAGAAGAAATGAGAAAGGTTTTGAAATCGATTGAAAAGTAAAACTAGTATTGTTAACAATTTTAATACTGAACATAAAAATGTATTTTAAACTCATTCATAATGTATGGTAAGACCATCATCACAGGTGAGTTTTGTCCCGGGGGGTATCAGTATCTTGAGGGATCTTTTTCGTGCCACACCTACTGCGACACGGGGCCACGGTTTATACGGTCTCATCCGAAGGACCGGTTTCCACGTCCCACAGTGAGATTCGAACCCGCGACGTAAGGATCAACTCCTTACTCCGGGACTCTAGAGCGAACGCTCTAACCACTGCGCCAGGCTAGCGACTACTTAATCGTAGAGAACGACGGAGAACAGACCAGTCTATAAATAGAGGCCATCTCATCAATTTATCACTGACCAGAGAGGGTGCATGAAGAAGCGGTTTGTTGACGTGGCACTAGTCCGAAATATCTGACGTTTTCCAGGCTTTTTTTTCACGATTTTGATATTCATTTTGCATGCCAGGAAAACGTCAGAACCGGCGCCATTAAGAAAACTGGACTTTTCGCCTTCTCCATCCGGAGTTGATTTTTCGATACTTGCAAACCGAATTAAATGCCGAACTCACAATTTATTGCATGAATTTCAACTTGCTATAGTTTATTTTTCTACACGTCTTGCGTGCAATTTTTGTTAGAAATATTCTATTGTATATTAACATATTATTTCTAACATTTACGTTATTGGTGTGTAGTTAAAGAGTATAGTGGCATATTTATGCCATCCAAATAAATTTTGTCAACATAAGATATCGCAAGATAACTATCACTTTAAGTCAAGATAACTTGCTGGTTTTGTCGAGATACACCAACTTCTATCTCGTTTAATCAAGATAAGCAATGACATTTTTTTGCAATAGCTATCTCGACAAGATTATTTATCTTGTATCATGACTAAAATTGTTGCGTTGACAAATACTGCCTCTTCGTAATTGCTGTCACGATAACTGTATACTCGTAAATGTATAGATGACGTGTTACGGGTGTCTCAGTCGTTTTCCAGTGAAACTATGCGGATCTCTTTCATTGAAATTATTCTTCAAATTCATCACTGCTATTGAATCAATTTAATTTTTGTATTTGTCTATTGGAGGAATATTATTTTTAAGAGATAAGGATTTATAAATATAAACCATTCCACATTACTTTTCTCCGTTAAATAAGTAGCAAAACAACTCATTTACTTAATTCATAATTTCCATTTTTGGTCTTTTCTTATTACATGTTTCACACCTCGAACAAAGGGTTTTTGCTGTCACCAAACCACTTGGTACACTCCAAGCCCAAGCTTCATGGCTGGATGACTATGCCATTGTGTGCATAATTATTAAACTTATCATTATCAATGATAGGTTACAATCATGGACACAGGGCAAGGTCACTAAACAATGAATGTTGGACCTGATGTGCTAAACAGTCAATAAAATCTATAGAATTAATCAAGGAAAAAAGATCTTTTTTTATCTTCCCTTGTCTTTCTTTCCGAATTAATCATCTTTAGCCAAAATTAAAACATTAAAAATTATTTAAATTAAAAAAAAAATAAAATTAAAACAGAAATTTAAGAAAAGTTTAGTAATTATTTGAATATTTAGAATTTAGCAATTACACCACTATAACTCACAACTAGAATTATATCTCATCAAATTAAAATGTGCAGAAAAAAAGGTTACTCGCCATCTTGCCTTGGATTTTAATTAACAGATTAGGAGGACACAGCAAGAAGTCAAAATTTGATTTTTTGCAAAGTTCAAATACAGGGATATACCTATATTGCTCAAGTAGTGTGTAAACTTTCCCTGTAATTGTTGTAAGCCGAGACAATCCAACCATATATACAGATTTTTCCCCTTTTTTCTGTTTTCGTTTTCTGTGGAAATCTGTGCTTTTCAAGAGCAATTTATCCATTTTACCTCTAAAAACATATCTTTACTAATGTCAACAAGTCCCCTGACTTAAATCCCATAAAAATGACATGAATAACTTCATACTGAGATTTTGAATCTATAGAAATGAACCTTATTGTGTTTGAAAGCTACTCACTGTAGACTGTCTGACCTGTTGCAGAACAGGTATATATTACCCTGAGGGGTATAATCATCGCATCTGGGCCTCTACAAAATGGCAACAGTCAGGATCAAATCATCGTTATCTTGATTAAATAACAAGAAACACACAAAGAATTGTAATGAAATAGATAAAGACACAAAAGGTTTAATTTCTCATGTGAAACATGTACTAAGTATGTTGTGTATAACTTTTCCCTCGCCATTCGAGTTGGTCCCTCGCTTCGCTCGGCACCAAATCTCATGGTGCTCGGGAAAAGTTTACCAACATATACTTAGTAGACATGGCAGAAGTAAAACAATTAATGCAAAGAGTCAATCATTTATTAAAAACTACCGATAATAATGTTATAGCCAAGTATTGATCTCTGATAAATAAATAAAAAAATCGTTTATTTAATTGAGTAGCAAATTTATTGAACAAATAATTGCAAATATTATATGTAATTAAGTGAAAAGCTCATTGGTTTGGTTCACACTTACTTGTATTTTATTTCACTGAAAACAAAGACACGGTTTGAACACACATTGGTTCAAACTGAATTCCCTTGAAACTTATTAGAGTAACAATTTGATAGAAGATATCCGCCTTTTTCATTGGAAAATGACCGAGGCACCCGTGACACATTATCTGTTTATATACTAGTATATGTACATGTACATATGCAGTTATCGTGACTGCAATTATGAAGAGGCAGTACTTGTCAACGCAATGATTTTAGTCATAATACATGATAAATTATCTCGTTATGTCGAGATAGCTATCGCAACAAAATTTGACAGATTATCTTGACTAGACGAGATAGAAGTTGGTGTATCTCGACAAAATCAGCAACTTTTCTTGATTTCACGAGAAAGCTATCTTTACTTGACGCGACATCTTATGTTGACAAAAAACTATGTGGATGGCATAAATATGCCACCATAGTGTATAGTTAAAGAGGCATTGAGGCCTTAAATATCATAAAAAGTTTTGTATTAAGTTTCATAGCAAATAAAAGTATCAAAGTTTTTACTGCAGTTAACGATATTTAACGTGAGTTAACTATACTTAGTGAGATATCAATTAACCTGTATGATATTGTAGATATCAAAATACCTCTTTGACGTTTTAGGTATCAAAATACCTGTAAGCAGTTATAGGCAACAATCAATATGCATGATGTTGTGGGTATCAAATATCCATATGACGTTGCAGCTAGGCATCAATTTCTGTTCACTTGTTCGACCCTAAGTGGTTGTAAACTATGTGCAACTCGCTCTTACTTTATTTGTTCAATGACAATCAATGTAAAATACTTTCTTCCTCTTGTAACTGGACCCAGATTCTAAATTAGTAACCACTTATTAAGATAAGCAAAGAACAAAGACCAAAAAGAAAATAAAACTGTATACAGGGTGTAATTTCGCTCCGTGTTGTTTTGGCCCTTCCACACTTGCAAATAATTTTGCCCCTTTTTAAATTCGCCCAAGCACAGTTCTCTAAGAAATTATACTAAATTATACCGTGTTTTGTGAATTCGTCCTTTTTTAAATTCGCGCTCCTGTGAATAGGGCGAAAGGGGCGAAAATAAATTTCCCTGTTTTTTGTATTAATTCCCTGTTAATTGTATTGTATTAATAATATTTTAACATAGTCTCATTTTATTTGAATCAGTAAATGCGAGTTATCTAAGATTTTATTTATATTCAGACAGATGGTAAGATTGGTAAAATGCTACCACTCATCACATACTCTGTTATTACCATAATTGTTGGATTGTTGTCCATTCAGCTACCCGAAACAAACAAAAGAAAATTGATTGAGACTGTCGAAGAGGTCGAAGTGAAGTAAGTTGGATTTTTTTTCTCTCGTTATTTTACAATTTTGAAACCGTGGCATAATTTCAATATCTTTTTTTTTTTCTTTTTTTCCTTTTTTTTTCTTTTTTTTTTTTTTTTCTTTTTTTTTTTTTTTTTTGACATAAAAAGTTTTGAAACTTAACATTCCTTTTTATAAAAAGTATATTATCCTAAAATTTTGATAACTCTTTTATTTTCAAGTATGATTAAAGGCAAAGGCAAATTTACAGAAGAGGAGCCCCAAGATACGGTACCTCTTAACTGGAATCCATCGCCTTAAATTACAGTATAAATATAATAGATGATACATCGCGCAAACAAAGGTCAATATTAAAATTATCATAACTAAAGATTTTAATACACTCAGTTGTATTTGTAGTTGTATGCATTGGCTGCGATTATGATAAGAAAAAAATATTTGTACACAGATATTCACTTTTTATATTCAGATATAATGACATTGCATTCATTTTAACATTTTAGAAGTTCATTTGTTAGAACGATTTAGATGTATTCCATACACTGTATATGAAATAAATACATGTATATAAAAATATTCCTTCTTTTTTCACTGTCTGAATGTGGTAAACAACAGAACAAGATAAATTGCTTTACTTTACGTGCAGAACTAGGGAGTGTTCTATTTTGAATTTACTTCACAAAACGTTCAAAATATTTATAACAATTCACTTATAAATTTATATATTACATTTTTACCATCGAACTTGTATCAGCTGGTGTACACTTTGTTGCCAAGGAGGATACTTGTCGCTCGATATATATTCTACTATGAATACTGAAAAGATAAGCGATTCCATACTGGCTGACACGGTGTCCAGTATAAAAGAGTCTATAAGGTGCACAGGCTCTGACATAGTGGTTGGTTCCCCTCGGATTCTCCTTCGGGACATTCACAATTTATCCTTTATACAGTCAGCAGATAACCAGTTTTGGTCTAAAATAAACCATACCTTTACGAAAATCAAAGATGGTAAGATATAAATCAGGGATATTTTTGACGATTCTTTTCTGACCCCATGTGACTTTTAAAACTTCAAACATTGTCTATAGAATTGAATGTACTCTACGCGAACTTACTTATATCAAAGAAACAAAAGTTGCACCAAATAACAGAACCTTGGTTTGAAATAATAATGGGGGCTATCAACATCTTTATAAATATTTAAGTTCGCCAGACCACAGTGTTCTTCCAGTGAGGGTAAGAATTTTTTTTTTTTGGGGGGGGGGATATATAATCAAACTAATAGTCCTACATTGAGTACTCCATTCCGTAGGTAACAGGAAGAATACTGGATCTGGAAACTAGACACGGCCTATCCGTATGGTTGTAACGATAATGTAGGAGATCTCTTCAGTCCACAGAGTGTGATGTGAATGTGATTGGACTTTTTAAGAATACATCTAGACGTAGTTGTAGTCCTGGACATCGATCATACAAGAGACCAATTAAACATAATGTCTCTTTTGATTCACTTTTGCCTTACGTCAATAAACAATCAGGTCTTCATCACATTCGCACTAAACTTTACTCGGTTCCCTTGAAATTTTTGAATGGAATATCTGAAAATATGTCCATACTTAGATTTGTGAAACTAGTGATTGTGATTATGGATGTAGCCCAGATGTAGTCTCTTTAATTCTGACTTAACCTGTCGGTTCCTTCAATAACAAGAGGCCCAAGGGCCTTAACGGTCACCTGAGTATAATACAACAATTTAGAGGATCCATAAAGTATATAATGAACTGAAAGGTGAAGCTTTGTTGCCCAAAAGCAAGAAAAATAGAGTGATCAGGATCAACAATATTATTAGTCTAGTATTCATTAACAGTTCATAAATTAGGTTCTTATCTGTTCCCCATTTATCACTCTCACCAGACAGTATGTAAACAAACTATCAGTGCTTCTCTACTCTTTTAATTCCTTGTTGAAATCTCTTACATTGGCCTCTCTTGGTCTTTGATGAACAATTAATAAGACAAGTTATTTTTGTCTCATTTTTATTTATCTATTATTTACAAGTCTACCTGATCATTAAAACTATGAAAGTACTTTTTGTATTATACAATAAAAATTCTTGCATAATTCTCTTATTCTATTAACCTTTCAAGTACATTATTTACAGTGATTAATTATGACAAGTAAATGGCAAAGGGGAATAACTCCTCTCAGTAGAATACAAATTAATAGAGCCCTGGCCTGGACCAGAACACTTGACCAAATGGTCCTGATGTTCAAAAATCTGGTAAAAATACCCTTCCTTATTAAAACTTTTACTCTTTTTGCCTCTGATATGCACAGGTGCAGAGAAGATTTTTAAAGCATTAATGCATCTTCACTCTATAATAAATAGAGCCCCGTCCTAAAATCAGAACCTCTGATCCAGGGATCATGAAATTCACAATTTTGGAAAAGGCATCCTTGCTTATCATAACTATGCATCTGTTTAAATAATACCCAGGAGTAGAGAAGGAGATTTTCAAAGAAATAATGTACTTTCACTATATGATCTATATAGCCCCGCCCTAGCACCAGAACCCCTGACCCTGGGACTATGAATTTCACAATTTTGGTAGAGTCACTCTTGCTTATCATAACTATGTATTTAATTTGTTTAAATAATACCCAGGAGTAGAGAAGAAGATTTTCAAAGAAATAATGCACTTTCACTACATGATTTATATAGCCCCGCCCTAGCACCAGAACCCCTGACCCTGGGACTATGAATTTCACAATTTTGGTAGAGTCACTCTTGTTTATCATAACTATGTATTCAATTTGTTTCAATAATACCCAGGAGTAAAGAAGAAGATTTTCAAAGAAATAATGCACTTTCACTATATGATCTATATAGCCCCGCCCTAGCACCAGAACCCCTGACCCTGAGGCCATGAATTTCACAATTTTGGTGGAGGGCACAATGCTTATTAAAATCATGCCAACAGTTTGACTGCTTGATGTCCAGGAGTAAAGAAGAAGATTTAAAGATTGCATTAATTTTGATGGTTTTGGCCCCACCCCTCAGGCCCCAGGGGGGCAGGGGCCACGAATTTCATAATTTTTGTTCCCCTTCACCCATAGATGCTATATGCTAAAATTGGTTGAAATTGGTTTGCTGGTTCCAGAGAAGAAGCTGAAAATGTTCAAAAGTTTACGACCGACGGACGACGGACCACGCACGACGACGGACGAAAAGAGAAAGCAATAGGTCACCTGAGTGACTCAGGTGACCTAAAAATAGAAGTCGACAATTTTTTATCGAGTAATTGGTCATCATGAAATTACTTTGTCAAATCATAACGAATCCAGCATCATTTTAATATCAACTTTAGAGTACTTATGTGTAGAATCAGTGATTCACTTGATAAATCTCATATTTGACTTCTCCTGGTCGTCTATGAGATTGATAAACATGATGTATTTCTTTGGACAGTCAGTAACAAACCTAGAAACTAATAGTATTTCTGACAATGATTATATACGAGGGGCATTTAAAAAAAGGTTCCGAGAATGAATTGATAAATATCAAGTGTTTATCGGAAGTTAACGAGTTTGGTATTATAGAAAAGAGCAGGAAATTATGCACATATTACATCTTCACTTAACATTTTTGATGACGTAATAACTCCGAAAAAGACCTCAGAATTTTTGTGTGTTTAGTAATATGGAGAGTCGAAGTTTTTATCCTGCTGAGAACAATAGAATAGGGCTATCAAGGGCTTTTCAAAGAAAATTAGCATTGAGCTAGAATAAGATTATAAGAATGGTACTGTAAATCAACAGGGATCCTGTGTGACTCAAGTAAGAGACAGTTCATGTGTAAAATCATGATAATTTGAAATTCAATGAAAAACTAAAAACCAGAGGTTATAGCGAAGTAACCCAACATATAATCCAAGCCAGTTTTCTAAAATATACCCATGCTAACTCTTCCAAAAATTATTGTAGCATATATACAGTCCCTGTCATTGTATTACCCAAAATGCAAAAAATACGTTGAAAAATATTGTAATAAAATAGTGTATTTATGCCTGCCTGCCCAAATGTTACCTAGGAAGAAGAAACACTAAGTCTTGCTGTAACCTTCAACTCGACATTCAGATAGATCGACGACTTTTTATCAATTAACAATCGTCACATGTACTTCCATTTATATGTCGACTCAATATATCCCAGTCACTCGAAATTTATTCTGCATATCCTTGGCTGGAAAAGTGTGAGAAAAATTAAGAGTTATGCATTTTGAAATTGTGATTTTTCATTCCAAGTAAAATTGTATAATTTACAACAAAAAAGCGTAATTATTAATATTGACCTGAAGCTTCTTAATAAAACAAATTAAAAGGCCTATAAAATTCTGTAAAATAAAGGTATGACATATATTGAGCAGGAAAAATACCCAGCCCACATGTGCTCCCTTTCTTTTCAAATAAACACGGGGGTATTGAAGTTCACGATAAAAGTAGATCAATGAATATGCACGCTTTCTGCAATTTGAAACAGGACGATTGATGAAAAAAAAACAATATAGAAAATAAAGTACTCAAGTTTATGACATCATTGTACTTTTAAAAAGAATTATCCCACAACATACAAAGGGAAATTTTTGAAAACTCAAAAAACACGCTGCAGCTCAAGGGAGAAAAGCTTTATTTGCTATTTTTAATTCATTAAAAGCACATGCATCGTCTTTGATACTTATGTAAGTAGTGTACTTTTATACGCCTCAGAGATATGGGGATGGCATAAACCTAATGATGTTGAAAAAATCCATCTTGATTATTGTAAAAGAGTTTTAAGGGTAGGTCAGAAAACAGTTAATAATTTTATATATTGTGAATTGGGTAGATATCCACTAGCACTGAAAATGAAATTAAAAAGTTTTAAATACTGACTCAAGTTAAGAAGGTCTGATAATTGTATATACTCTCAGTGCCTGTTATCAAGATATGGTTTTGCGTAATGATAATTGAATTATGTGTATTAAAGAAAAGTTGGGAAGACTAGGCGTGAGCTAATCATGGGAATCTAACATTATTGATAATTGTGTATTTAAAATAATTGATCAAAGAATGATTGATGTTTATAGACAAAATATTTTTTTTTTCAATTGTATCTTCTTATTTAAAAGGACAACTGTACCAGTACCTTGTGAATAATTTTGTATTACAAGCATATTTAACATAGCCTATTGATAAAAAAAGAATATCAGAGAATGCTTACCAAGGTGAGATTGTCAAACCACCAATTAAAAAATGAAA